CATTTGCATTGCAATTATCAAATCATTTTGTCTATTGTCACCACATCTGGTCCCAATCATTGGCACTTATGGTCTAACCAGTTGTCACATTCACTTGTACTTAAACGTGAGACACTTTTTTTGTTTGATTTATCCTAACTTTAATTACCATTTATTAAATGAACTGTTGATTTAGTTAAATATATTGTTGTTACAATTAAATATATAAGTGTTAATTGAAATGCATTTATGAGCGAGTGTTATGTATATAATTGCTATAATTATAGATTACTGTATTATAGTTAATGGTTGAACCGGTAAACCTAAGTGAGGTACACTCTTGAGTTACTGCTTATACCTTGTTCATACGATAATCACTTATTATAAATAGCAAGTTTATAGTCTAATAATTGATATTTAATAGTATTCATTGAGAAGATTTGGTGAAGACTAGAGAGAATGGCTCGGAATCCGTTGATGACTCTCGTCTTCTACAGCATAGCAATGGTTACCCTTCCGATCGCCGCATACTTCGTGTCCAGACATGTGTTGGAACTGTTCATAAGCGGACAGTCGGCTAATATCTATTCAGCGATCAGTGCTGTGATTGTGGTTCACATCATATTATTTGGTTTCGTTTATATCGCATATAATGAAGACAAACAATTGGCGCAAACGGACAGACCAACCAAAACGCCCACAAAAACTGATTAATTCATATACTTTTCTATTCATTTACTGTACAGTATATGATTGTCTTTGAATTAACACAAGTATTGACCACATTCTGGACAATATATCTCCTAAACAATTGATCAATTTCTAACACAAATGTAATTTTGAGTTATATTTATTTTCAAGTTTAATATATTTTAATAAATTTATAATAATTATATATAAGTCAGGAAAATAGACGAAGTGATTGTCAGGTACATTATGCGAGTAATCCAGTAGTTTAGTAGAAATGATAAATTGTTAATTACTATTCAAGTGACTAGCAATCACTTGATTGTCAGGTACTGTATCAGGCAATTCCAGACTCCGTTACCAATCTAATCCCATAGTATTGGCATTTTACCAGTAGTGGTGATACTTGTGTGATGAGTATGACTGTAAATAATCGGAACAATTATCATCATAATCCAGAATCCACTGAAACAAATATCATAATTAATAAATTCATTATATTTTATAACATGTGTTGTAATATTACGTGTATTTAATTGCATAACTGTAATACGGTACAAATCCAGTAA